GTGCACTAACTAAAGCAAAAGAGGGCCATTGCATAGCTTAATCGTTAAAAACAAAGAACTTTACTTTAAAAAGTATTTGTATTTCATGTATTATAATACTGCATTTGGCCCTCTCGGGGAAAATGTTTGGGCGCCCCTGCTTTAGTCTTACAGTTCAATATTTTTTTGATACAAATAACCAAAACTTCCATGCCCTTTTTAACTTGTAATTTATTGAAATTATTTATGAATATTTTTTTAACCTCAAAAGTACAGTTTTTAAATTAAATTTAAACTTAAATTTTGCTGAAACAGCAAGTTTCTCAGTKGATCTGCGCTCGAAAATAGTCGAACACAGATCCTCTGATCCTTCAGCACAGAGCATCTTCAGAAGACAAGTTGATAAAGTAAATTTTAAAAATCTGTATTGTTCAATACAAGTGTGTATTGAACCTAAAGCACTGTATTGAACAGTTTGGTACGGGTACATGTATTGTTGCACCCCTACTAACTACTGTTTTCCTGATCTGATCAGCACTGATGTTGACACTTCAGCTATAAATGACTTTCAGCCACCTCACGTGTGCACACTGACCCGTATGAGGTATGCAGCGGCCAGTGTGGCGCTGCGAGAGCGTCCTGCCTTGCAGTGAACGTACACACTGGACCCCCGCTCTCGGTGGTGCAGCACGAACTCCACCCCTGTGAGGAGGTTCTCCAGGCTGGGGACRCCCGTCAGGTCCACGGTGCTCAGTCTCAGCTGCTCCACACCTGCAGCGTGCCACTCCTGCTCCAAAACATCACAAAACCAGTCTTTACACTACGCTCATCATTTCACTTTAAACTGAAAGTCTAATCCATTTATTTATGGAATATTCTAGCATTGAAACAGGAAAATGAAATTCTATCAAAGACCTGCATTCCTCAAAGGAATCCATATCAACTGCTGACTGTTATGCAAGAGTTTTAAACTAAGATCATCTTATGTTGACAAATGATGGAGTTATAGCTGTTTTGGTCATACCTTAAAGGGATCCCTGATTAGTTGTAACATTAGATTTTATTTGATAAACATATATTTTAACTGTAAAATAAAGACTGTAAAAATACTAGCATTGAAACAGGAAAATGAAATTCTATCAAAGACCTGCATTCCTCAAAGGAATCCATATCAACTGCTGACTGTTATGCAAGAGTTTTAAAC